TCGTCGTCCTCCTCCTTTTCCTCCATGTCTCCTTCACCTTCCCCTCCATCCCTCCTCCCCTCCCCACCGTCCCACCGGCCTCCCTGCATCCCTACCTCCTGGCCTGCCCGCCTCCTTCCTCCCTTCCTGCATGCATGCGTTCACTTCCTTCTTCTTCTTCCTCTTTTTCTGCTTTTCTTCTTGTTCTCTCCTTCTTTTCTCCTTCTTCTGATGCCGTCTTCTCCTTGCTTTGTCTTTTCGGATGTTGTGCTTCCTTGTTGTTCCCTGCAGGTGCTTGTCCCATCTCTCAAAATGAAAATTGCCCCCCATGATATGATAATTAGTAATTATACTTACCACAGGAATAGCAATCCAGAACAACCCCTTCCGGTTCGAGTGGATATTGTCCGCATAACCGGGCAAATTGTCCAAGAACACCTCGTGCGTCCCAGCTTTGGGTCCCTTCAGCCAGTACCGATGCAGTCGAAACCTGGTTTCCCAAAACAGGAGAGGGGAAGGAAGGCAGAAATCCATCACATGTACAAACACAGGAGAAACACTGCTTCTTATTGCCGGCAAGGAAAGACCAGTGGAGAATAAGAGAAAGAAAACCAGTCAAGTTCAGAAAACAGAGGAAAACAGTGAAGGGAAACCAAACAAGAGATGTGATGCCCAGCAGTGTGCAATGTGCCAATGTGCATCCATCTCCAATTCATTGATTGTCTGCCATGCAAAGAGGGGATGCACATTGGCACATTGCACATCACGGCAGTTTGAGAAGTTCACTGGTGAATACCCCAAATTGGACAGCCTGAACAGCGGTTTCCCAAGATGGCCCAGCCTGAGAAGTTCACTGGTGAATACCCCAAATTGGACGTCTCAGACTGGATAGCCCAAACGAGGTCTTACCTCAGGGGCTACCCCTGTCCAGAAGTGGACAAGGTACGAGCCACAGTGGCCCTCCTGGTCATATCCACTATCGTCGGCTGAACTTCACATGATCGTTCAGCCACTCCACATCTTTTTTTTTTTTTTTTTGATTGCGGTAATTCTCCGCTCGCACACCACCTTCACCACCTCTCGTCAACAATGTCCATCGAAGAAAGCGGACGACAGGTCCGTACTCCAACCGCCGCTCAGAAAGGAGGTTGCCACTCAATTGCTCGTTGGTGGCACACGGTCACAGCTCCGATACCAACTTATCATTCAGGTCCCCCTGGGTCTTCATCTACTGCAAGGTTGTATGATCAGAATAGATCTTGAAGTGTCTTCCCAGCAAAAAGTGTTTCCATTGTTTGAGGGCACACACAAGGGCAAACGATTCTTTCTCATAAGTAGATGCCTTGATCTTCTTGCTCATGAACTCCACAGGCTTAAGGCCAGACCCATCATCTTGCAGAAGGACGACCCCTACACCATACTGACTGGCATTAGTGGTCACCACAAAAATGGTAGAGTAGGGTGAGAGCTTCAGCACAGGTACTTGAGTCAACACTTTCTTCAATCTGGAGAAAGCCAATTGGCATGTAGGTGTTCATGCAATGAACCCAGATCGTGAAGACACTTGTCAACAATGCAAGCCAAGATGAATATCAACCTTCTGATGCTTATCAATAATCATAATTGTGTCTACATAGAATGAGATGGGAAAAAGTTTCGAAAAACATACACAAACGAAGTAGGGAGGAGAGAGATTAGACTTAGAAAGAAGAATAAAAGACAATGCCCACTTCTGCTTCGGCCTCCCTCCTCGATCATCACCTCACTAATCAATAATCTGAACGCGCATCTAAAGTTCTATCACATTGTGCCACGTGGCACGTCAATCAGTCCTCATCAACGAGCTGGAGCAATGTTGACGTCAAGATAACCAGGTACGTATCCACTATCGCCCCACATTCATGATCTCCTCCCGAATGTCGTCGAAACAGAACAGCAATGCCAGTCGCGTAGCCTCGCACGTCAACAATAATAATATACGTGGCAGCGGCCACGTCAGCGGCGGCGCGTGGCAGCTGCCACATCAGCATGCCCAAAAGACAATTGCAAGCCAGCCACCATGTCGATCCAGCAGAGTGTCGCCGTAGTTCTCCCAATTGCCAACGTAGAGTCAGCGCCCAACCAGCATCGCAGCGTCGCGCTAGCGTCGTTGTCAACGCGTAAAATCAGCATTGACACAAGACAGAATGTTCCTCGAAGCCAGGAGGTCAATGCTTATGTAGCGTTGACGCGGGGTCTGGACCCCAGGTGCTGCATCCCTCAGCCGTCGAGATCTCAACCGAAATGACGGCCCAAATTGACCTGCAACAGAATTCCCTGTGGCCTTGATGCTATTTGGGTATCTGCGCATAAGTGAGTGTATCCGAGACCAAGGGTCAGGGCGCGGTACCTTTGACCTGACAGTTGACTTGGACCCTTGACTTTCCAGGGGACAGTGCGTGGTCGCACTGCTGGCATATGCCGTGTTTGGCCTGTGTCGTCTGAACGCAGTTTCGGGCCCCCAGACTGCTGCGGAACACGGGTTACTGCATTCCTGCCGACCCATTTTCGAGTTCCATCGCAGAAATAATTAAGACCTTAACCCACGTTCATAAGCAGATACAATGTCAGAAGCAGTTTCAAGTAATTCTCTTTTACTAAACCATCTGTCCTCAGACGGAGACTAAGACTTGAAACGTACCTTGAACTGCTTCTGTGGTCGTCCGCGTCTTCCTGTAGAAAAGAATCCATGTTCTATGATCTGATATACTTCATACCTGCCTTCCATTGATGGCGTAATTATAGATGGTCTGTTTGGGAACTTTTTTCCTTCTATATAGGGTAATAGTTTGGACGCATGAAAGACAAGATACATTTTGAGGTGAGGGGGAATATCAATACGATAAGACGGTCCCTCCGAATCCCCAATCACTTTGAGAACTTCCAAGGGTCCAAAATAGACAAGCAGTAGTTTTTGAGACACATCTTCTTTCAATGAAAACTCTTTGGACTTGACCCAGACTAGATCACCTTCCTTGAATGTAGATGGTCGGCGATGCTTGTTAGCTTGTTGAATCATTTGGTCCTGGGCTTTCTTCAGATTCTCCTTTACTTTCTTGATGTCTTCTTGAAACAATACTGCATATTCTAGGGTCCCTGGAGGTAACCTAAGAAATTGGTCCCGTGTCAACACACCAATGGGACGCTTAGGCTTCCATCCCTTATGCAGTGCATTAGGTATACACCCTGTAGCAGTATGAACACTACTATTATATGCAATTGCAATCTTGGGTAAGTTCTCATCCCAATCAATCTGATCGGGTCTCACAGACATGCGCAAAAGTTGTTGGCACAAACGGTTCATCTGCTCAGTCTGGCCATTCGTTTGACGACATGGTCAGTCGTGTGCCACATGCTTCCATAAGCTTTTGCCATGGCATACTCGTAAACCTGACATCGCGATCAGACACAATAGACTCGGGAAAACCATACTCCGTCACCCATCGCATTTGAAACTTTTGAATGACAAGTTTAGTTCGCGCTTTTGTAGGTAAGGGAATAAACGTGGCGTATTTAGAGAAACGATCCAAAATAACCATTACTTGGCTGTTGTCATTGCGGCTTTTGATGAGACTCATAAAATCAATCGAAATGGGCTCACCTGGTTCGCTGGGAATCAGTACTGGTTTCAGAAAAACAAGTGGATTCTCATGGGAAGGTTTGTTTCTCTGGCACACCAGACGTGTACGAACATAAGTTAGTACGTCCTCTTTCAATCCCTTCCAATCAAAGTGTTCCCTAACCTCAGCGTAAGTTTTCTTGAAACCAAATGTCCCTCAGTATCGTGACATTCCCCAATCAACAAACTTTTGATTTCTTCCTTGTGGGGAATACACAATCTTTGTTCAGTTTGGTCTAACAAGAAAAGCAAACCATCGGTTACTGTATAGTTGGGAGGTAAAGTTTGATCTTTTGCAAGGACATCCATGATAGGCTTCCAAATAGGGTCAGTAACATATCCTTGACGAATTTTATCTTTCAAATCATTCCCAACATCTAAGTAAGAGACAATAGTACCAAAGAAATCACATCGTCTGGACAACGCATCTGCTACCACATTAGACTTACCTTTGATAACTTTCAACTCAAAATAAAAAGTATCAATGAATGCAGACCATCACATTAGCTTATCAGAGAGTTTAGGCTGTGTCTTTATCCACTTTAGTGTCGAGTGGTCTGAGTACACAGTGAAGTGTCTCCCTAACAAGTAGTGCTTCCATGTGTCCATCGCACAGACAAAGGCATACAATTCCCTTTCATAAGTGGAGTTGGCAACCTTTTGCGATGACAATCGTGCAAACATAAACTCAATGGGTCTATAACCCTCGCCGTCGTTTTGTTGAAGGACTGCGCCAATCCCATACTGACTTGCATCAGTAGTGACAATGAAGGGCAGTGACGGATCAGTAATTTTCAGAACAGGATAGTGAGTCAAAGCATACTTTACCTTCTTGAAGGAAGACTCACAATCCTTGTCCCACAACCAGATAGTTCCTTTCTTTAACAATCTTCTCATTGGTGCAGCAATCAGTGAGAAGTTTCTAACGAACTTTCTATAGTAGCTTGACAAACCAACGAAAGATCGTAGTTCGGTTAAAGACTTAGGTCGTGGCCAATCTCGAATTGCTGATATTTTCTTTTCTTCTGGCCCTATGCCATCTTCGTTCACTATATGTCCTAAGTATAAGACTTCAGACTTAGTGAACTCAGACTTCTTTGGGTTTATCTTAAAGTTGCCCTCTCGCAACTTTCCTAGAACTAAACGAAGATGCTTCTTGTGATCTTGTAGTGTTTTACTATATACTAGAATATCATCGAGATAGACAATAACGAACTGATCCAACCATTGACGAAACAATTCATTCATTTCAGATTGTGCATCCTTAAGTTGCACAACCTTGCCTTTGAAATCAATATCTGGGTCTGCTTCCTCGCGCCAATCCATCCCCAGAATAAGATTAAAAGGCAAATTATTTTCTACTAGGAAGGACAACTCATGCATAATCTTATTTCCTTCCCTAGTTCTAAACTGACACTTAATACGATCAACATACTGTGAGATAGTGATCGTACTCTTGTCCGCTAACATAGACGTGATAGGTCGAGACAAATCTCTCATCTTCATTTTGAGATGCAACTTGCGGATTGTTTTCTCAGAGATGTAGGACCTCGTCGATCCGGGGTCCAAGAACGCACCTACTCGTTTTCGTGCGATTTCTACATCAGCAAATAATAATTCGCCCTTAGACTTTGCTTTTCGAGCCCATGGGCTACGTCAGGCTAGCAATTCATTACCTAACTTATCAAGAGAGTCATCCAGAGAGACAAAACATAAGACAATGTCAGGGTGGTCTGGATGATGGGCTAAGGAAGAATCATCCTCTGCTATATGAGAAGAAGGGTAGGAAGGGTTCGTTGGCGCCTCACCTTTCTGTTCGTCCTTACCCTTTA